GCTGGATGCAACAATTGCTATTTTCCACTCTGACTCAGGGTGAGCAGAGCAGTTTTGAAAATTGGGAGAGGGCCGGCCTGTGGCTCACTTGGGAGAGTGTGGTGCTGATAACACCAAGGCCAACGGGATCGCAGCCCTCAGTGTTGCTCCCGCACCTCGCTCAGCCAGTGAGCAGGAACCGGTCTGTATGTGGGATCCGAACCCTCGGCGGGAGCGCCACTGCACTTCTCAAGCGGCGCACTATAGCAATGCGCCACCGGGCCGGCCCTCGGCCATCTTTAAAAAAAAAAAAAAAGAAAGAAAATTGGGAGAAATACCTCCCCTCTTCGGGCTGGTGTTTGGGAGGCCTGGGCTACACATTGAAGGAGTCTGAGGGGCTGAGCCACTGCACTTGACCTGCTGTGCCCAACAGACCACCTGGCCCCAGAGCTTACTCAGGCCACTTGCAGCCACTAGTTTGTGCCCATCCCTGCAGCAGACTGCAGAGAGCCAGGCTGGTGGGCACCCTGCTGCTGCTGCTGAAGGCCACCTTTTTCACACCTTTCGATGCCAGCTGTTGACCTGGGGGCTAGACCCGACTCCAGTTTCACGAGCAGGAAGGACGGGTGCAGCTCCAGGATGACTCAAGGAGCTCCAAACACCATCAGATTGTAAAAATTTACACTGATGTGGATGGTGTGTAAAGAAATAGGATTGTGTCTTAAGAATCCGTAAAAGCCCCATAATTATAGGGAAATTTCTGAAATTCTAGAATTCAACCACTAAACAAAATTGAAATATCTGCAGCAAATGCTTAGTGTTCTTAATATACAGTGAGCTCTTACAAATCAATACGTAAAAGAAAAGCGAAAAATAATTTTAAAAATTGAGCCGAGGATATAAACAGTTCACAGAAGAAAGAAAAGTGAAATGGTGCTAAACCTCACTCATCAGATAAATGAAGTTTTGGGGCTGCTGGGTTAGCTCACTTGGTTATAGTGTAGTGCTGCTAACACCACGGTCATAGATTCGGATCCCCATACTGGCCAGCTGCCATTAAATAAATAAATAAATGTGAAGTTTTAATTATTTGGATAGTACTTGCCCATGGTGAAAATTCAAGCAGTTCAAAAGATGTATAGCGAAAAGGACATATCTCCCCACCTCCCTTCTTGGAACCATCCATTATTAGCAATTTCTTACGTCTCATTCTAGAATTATGCTATATGTATATAAAATTACTAATATATAGGGGCTGGCTGGTTAGCTCAGTTGGTTAGAATGTGGTGCTGCTAACACCAAGGTCCAGGGTCTCCCTTTTACACACGTACACACTGCTATTCCCATTGAGGCCAAGTGTGTTTCTTATTAACAATACAGCAGTGAACATTTGTGTTCATACTTTTCTTCACATCTGTGACAATATCTGTAAAATTCTTAGAAGTGGAATTGCTGGGTTGAAGCATGTGTGCATTTAAAATTTTCATAGCTATTTACCCAACTGCCCTCCAAAGAGGTTGTAACAGTTTACACCCAGCAGCAGGGCATGAGGATGTGCTTCTCCACACTCCTGCAAAGAGTATTAACAGTTTTGTTTTATCTTTGTCAATCTGAAAGATTAAAAAGATATCCTGTGCATTTAATAGTCATTTTTCTGGGCCAGCCCGGTGGCGCACTCGGTTGAGTGCAGTGCTTGGGAGTGTGGCGGCGCTCCCGCCGAGGGTTCAGATCCCATATAGACGGGTCCGCTCACTGGCTGAGCGCGGTGCGAGCGCAACACCGAGGGTTGCGATCCCGTTACCGGTCACGAAAAAAGACAAAAAAAGGAAAAAAAAAAAAGTAGTCGTTTTTCTTACTCTAAGTAAAGATGAACACCTGTTGCGATCCCGTTACCGGTCACGAAAAAAGACAAAAAAAGGAAAAAAAAAAAAGTAGTCGTTTTTCTTACTCTAAGTAAAGATGAACACCTTTTCATGTGTTTAAGAACCATTTTTCTGTGAGCTTTCTGCTTATCTTTTGCCAATGTTTTTGTTAGGTTATTGTAGTGGATTGAATTATGTCCTCCTCAGACTCACTGAAGCTTGAATTGTGTCCTCCAAATTTTATGTATTAGGAACTTGGCCCCTACTGTGACTATTAAGAGGGTGGGAAATCCTATTATGGTAATTGAAAGGTGGGGCCTTGAAGAGATGATTGGACTGTAGGACCATGAGGTAGTGAGTGGATTAAAAATGGTGATGAGGAGCGTGGTTCTGAGGGCTTTAAAAAGTACAGCAGTGAGGAACTCTCTCTGCTCCACCATTTTCACAGTGTGATTCTCTGCTGTCACTGTTGCCACCACTTAGGCCCTCACCAGCTGTATTTCCTGGACTTTGGACTTCCTAGCCTCTGAAACTGTGACATATTTCATTTTCTTCAGGAAATACTCAGTTCCATGTAGTTTGTTATAAGCAACAGAAACAGACTAATACACTGCTTATGTATTTGTAGAAACTCCTTAAAAAGAAATTAGCCCTTTATATGTGTGGTATTTTTTCTGGTTTGTTATTTATCTTTTGACAAAAATGTGAAGAGATGCATTTATATAGGTGTTGATCATGTGGTCTACAAATGCTGTTAATCTGGTTTAAACAAATTGATACATACAATAGAAGGCTATGCAGCTACTTAACTGAAGATTTATATTTATTTATTTACTTCTTTTGTGTGACCAGTAAGGGGCCCTTGGCTTGGTGTCGCCTGCACCCCGCTCAGCCAGTGAGCACACCGGCCATCCCTATATAGGATCCGAACTCGCAGCAGAAAGACCAACTATAAAACAAAAAGCATTATATGATCCCTTTTTTAAAAAAAACCTGTGTTAGGGCCGGCCCGTGGCTCACTTGGGAGTGTGGTGCTGACAACACCAAGTCAAGGGTTAAGATCCCCTTACCGGTCATCTTAAAATAAAAAAGAAAAAGAAAAAAAGCACTAGTTTAAAGACATCTGAAGGGATACAAACCCAATAAAACTTCATGGTTTTTGTCACTGAGCAGTCAGGACACATGGGTTCCAGTCCTGTTTGTCCCTAACAAGAACTAGGCTTTTAATAAGTCCCAACCAAGATTGACTCCCAGAATGAAAAATGTTGGGACTGGAATGTCATCTTCTAATTTAATAATGAAATGTGTTCTCTTAAGTCTAAGGAAGGTTTCTCCAAAATTTTTTTCATTACCACCTCCAAGGGCTTAATGTTTTCCTTTCTGGCTGGGATAATTTAACCACTCCATGGAGTTTAAGCATTAATTCACTGAACAGTATGTAAAATTGTTGTGGGCCGGCCCGTGGCTCACTCGGGAGTGTGGTGCTGGTAACACCAGGGCCACGGGTTCGGATCCCATATAGGGATGGCCAGTTGGCTCATTAGGTGAGCATGGTGCTGACAATACCAAGTCAGAGGTTAAGATCCCCTTACCGGTTGTATTTTTAAAAAAATTAATAAAGTTGTGTGTCCAGTGTCTTAACTTACTAAGTAACTCATAGTTAAGTACCTCCATTTAGTATTTTATGCTCAAAGTTAAGGGGATTTCTAGGACAGAAGTTTAAACTACTAAGGCAGAGTTCCTAAAATCATACACCAATTCACTCAAGTACACCTGGAATATCAAAGGCATATCCAAGTACCTCAAAAAGTTCGTGGAAAAATTGAATTAAATGTAATACAGATCACTCCATGAACTTTTTGAAGACCCCTTCATATTTCTAGACATACTTAAGTTTTCTGCATTTTTATATGCACCCTTGGGTAATTCTTGTATGTCAAACTACTCCCTAGAGATTAACTGGCCAGTGATTTTTAGTACCAGAAAAAGTATTTCTGAACTATAAATTTGAGAAAATCAGGAGCGCTACCCCCCAACTTCTCCCCCTTACAAGCACTCCGCACACCACTCCCAGTTTTGTCCCAAGTTAAGAACTACCACATTTACTGAAGTTACATAAAATTGTCAAGGGGGAAAAGGTTAAGAACTTCCTTGAAGCACTGTTAAGAACGGGTACCTAGAGCTGGTAGGTTATCTCATTTGGTTAGAACACGGTGCTAACAAAGGTCAAGGATTTGGATCCCTGTACCCACGAGCTGCCAAAACAAAAAATAAAAACAAATAACAGGCACCAAATATCCAAGTACATTCTTCCTCCCTCAAATGTTTTTTCTATTAGTATTGCAAATGTATTGCCTAGTGTTTATTCATATGGCAGCACAAGAACTGCTTACCTGTCAGGCTTAGATAATAAACTTATATCAAGTACAAAATTCAGAAGAGAATCTGTGTTGCTGCAATCTTCCCCTGCCAAACACACAATAAAACTATTATCATTAAGAATTATAGGAGGAACAACTTTAATTTGCTGCCTAACTCACCAAAATCAGCAAGTTACCTTAGATCAGGACATGCATTTTCTAACAACCTTTCTCCCCAGCCAGCCTTCTTTCAAACTTGATGATCAGTGCTCCATTTCCTTCCTGGCTCAGCAATTACCCACATAGAGCACAGACAAGATTAGTGGTCTCGTTTTATTGCCCAAGATTAAGTACTTCAGTGTAACGTACTAGAAAGCAATAAATGCACATTACCAGCACAGAGTCATCCTATAATTCCCAGAATCGAAAGCACTTAGCCACTATTTAAGTGGTCTCAACCAAAACTTGTTTGGCTATTTCTTTTCAGAGGGCTCAGTTTAGGTCTAGGCAGGTACATTTGCTTTCTCTCATTTATTTATTTATTTTAAAGTCTCCTGTGCAATAGATTTCAGGTTGTTTACGCTTCTGAAATGGTTTGCAATTAAACCAGGATCCTAACTTGAAAATGACGTGCAGCAAAGAACAAAGCTCTTACACTTCAGCACACCCAAATATAGACTGAAGTCAAATGACTTAAAGATGGTCACATCACCAATCTCAGAGTTATATCCCTTCCTCCACACCATTTTGATCAATTAATACCCATATCACTACAAAATTTCACAACAGACACCAAAGATGCTACCATGCAACAAAACCTTTATTAACATTTTGAACAGGTTCAGCTATTACTGAAACTGGTAATTTCTAAGCTTAAACGGAGGAAAATAGCTACAGTGCACAGTAATGCCATCATTGTGCACTGTGACTGCAACACTGAAGAATTAGCAGCCACCCCTCAGACGGAGGACCAGATGGAGGGTGGACTCTTTCTGGATGTTGTAATCAGAAAGAGTGCGGCCATCTTCCAGCTGCTTGCCTGCAAAGATGAGCCTCTGCTGGTCAGGGGG